TCCTGTTAAATACCAATAAGATCTTAATACCACTGTCATCAGCAGAAAATTACGTCACAGGCACATAATTTCATGACTGGTTTGCTTTTACATCAAATAGCTTAAAGCACCCTAACACCTTTCTTCAATTAATTTTGAATTTTTTCTATAACAATGATTGAAACCGCAAGAAAATATGAAAAAAGTTTCATTTTTCGTTACAACCATTAAACTCTTTCTTATGTTTCGAAAATGTAATTCAAAATCAATAGAAAGAAATTTATAAATCGATATTGGGAAATGCAGTAGTTCTATTATTTAAAAATAATGACGTAATTATCATATATCTGATAGATTAAAAACAAGTCAAACCAATGAGTATATTCTGAGCATTGTTTTTATCTTAATGAATCTAAGCGTGGTATGCAGGTTAATAAATTAGTAAATGGAAAAGTATCGTACGAAGGATCCCCTGTACAGGATTTAGATAGGATCGTTCACTCGTCTTTGATCCAACCCTTCATAATACTGATAAATCAAATGTCTTGTGACTAGCTGTTGCGGCTTAACGATTCCTGAAATATATACTAAACAAAAAAGAAAGGTAACGCTACTTTATTCTGTGATTAATTAATTAACCCCTTCATAAATCCTTACCAATCATGTACGAATAATGTAATTGGTCAATTCTGATAAAACTGCAGTCATGGTTCATTATAAAACTTTGCGTTCAGTTGATTTTATTCGACTGTAAAGGACGTTGGGGTCAATTTTAAAGGTAACACCATTAGTAAGGGTATGGCCACCGTTTGCGAAGTAAACAGCATTGCCGCGTCGTCGCCGATAATTCGAGGAGAGATGTTGTTCCATTCAGCGATCAAGGCTTGGGCCAGCTCCTGCAAGTTTGACGGCTGATTTTGACGTTCTCTCACGCGTCGCCCAAGAACGTCCCAGACATGCTCAATTGGTAACAAATCAGGTGATTTTGATGGCCAATCTAACACCTGTACGTTATTCTGCTGCAAGAAAGTTCTGTCAACGCGACTGGTGTGCGCTGGTGCGTTATCCTGTTGAAAAATGGCGCAAACGCCATGGCGTTTTAAGAATGGCAGAACCACTGGTCTTAAAATTTCGTTCCGATACCGAATGCCGGTTAAATTGCCATTTAACACAACAAGCCTGGTACGAGTCTCCCCACAAATACCACCCCATACCATTACACTTCCGCCGCCAAAGCGGTCCCGTTCTGCGACGCAGCAGTTCGCAAAACGCTCCCCACGTCGCCTCCACACTCTGCGCCTTCCATCACCGTGTTGCAGACAAAACCTGGACTCATCTGAAAACAGAACATTGTTCCATTGTCGTAAGGCCCAACGACGGTGAACACGGGTCCAGTTACACCGATTATTACGGTGACGTCGCAACAAATTGGGTCCAGTGTAGGGACGCCGCGCTTTCAATTGGTAGGCCCTCACCTGTTGCGGACTGTTTGGGGGGACACACGACATCAAACGGTCATCCCTGGCGGTCGTCTTACAGGGTCGGCCGCTTCGGGAACGATCGGATGTTGACCCAGTTTGGTTTAAACGACTTACCAACTGGCAAATTGTCTTCACACTGCAACCAAAATGCCGTGCAACTCGACGGCGAGATTCCCCAGCCTGGATCATGCCTACAGCCCTTTCTCTCTGTACTTGTGACAGCCAGGGCATACTGATAAAGTTGATAGATAGCAAGGTTCGGTGATTTCTAAGTCCTAAGGATCTAAGGAACAGTTGTCAGTTTGAATGTTTATGAAATTCAAGCGAAGATACAAGTTAGTCGCAGAAAACCTCGTGCAGCTCTTTCGCTAATACAGACTTTCACGCTTGAATGATTTTGGTAACCCCCTTGGATTTTGTAATGTAAAACATTCCCATTTTCAAACATTGCACAAACGTCATTTTGTTTTCACTCATTTACAGGTATTCGCCAAGGAAACATGTTAACCTTTCTTTTTTGTTGAGTATATTGGCATAAATATAAGAAAAATAAATATTTCGAATTAAGCATTTTTTTCTCTCCTTTTTGCAGTATATGCATTAGAATCACCATTCTTCCTTAGCAACAGCACAGGCAATTGGTCAGAAGGCGAATCCTATTGTCTGGAACACAATGGCCGATTTGTGACCATTGATACACAAGGAAAATATGACCGTATTTTGGATTTGGACAACAATGACATGTAAGTAAACATACTTTATAGGCCATTGTTTCAATGTTGATAAGCTCAGATATACTACACAGACTATAAGTTCAGTTTGCATTTGTGAGTCATAAAACAAATTAATATAACACAATGTATATTTCTGCCTCAGCTTGTAGATTGATGCATCCCGTTCATCTGTTGTATATTTTCATTGTTCTTTGCGTACAATAGGGATACTGTGAATTCTTCATTTTCGCGGTGGATTTCTTTATGTTAATTTCGTGGATACACCTGTTACACGAATTCATATTTCCACAAATAAGAAGATTGATTGAACTAAATGTTTTTTAAAAAGTAATTGTCCATAATAATTATAGATGAAACAAATACTTGAACATTTTTTATTGTTTGATGGAAATTAGAGGTTATACCTGTTGTCATATCACGATTTGGATTATCGTTATATACTGGCTGTCTGCACCTATTTGAGATAATGTAATGAGGCATAATTTTAACATGAGTCGAATTCGAGTAATAAAACATCCAATTCGCTATCTCATTTTATATTTTTGTATATTTTATATACATTTAAGAATAACAAGAAAAGATCACCAATTTTATTATCATTATTTCATAATTTTAATTCCAAATCAATTCAACGAGGGAATGGTGTATGAAAAAAAGCAATTTTAACATTGAGCATCTGGAAAGTGTGGAATAGTTAGTTAGTCAGTCAGTCAGTCAGTCATCTAGTTAGTTCGTTAGTTAGTTAGTATTTTAGTAAGTTAGTTAGTTAGTTAGTTAGTTAGTTAGTTAGTTAGTTAGTTAGTTAGTTTAGTTAGTTACAGGTTTTACAGGTTTTACATCTCCCGGACTCCTCCCGTCGCCGGGCACTGTCTCACCGACGAATTTCATTCATATCACCCTCAGATGAGTGGAACTATCTGTAGCGGTTTATGTTTGATTATGTTAGTTTTTGAAGACTGCTTCAGATCCTGATAATGCCTTATCCTTCTTCTAGCAGACTGAAACATGTCCAGAATTCGAAAGAAGAGATTAGAAGCCTACAAAGATTCGGTTTAGGTTAAGATATTTTTAAGTCCTTCAGGTACATTAAAATTTTATGGCCTGAAAAGTCATAGATTGATCTTTAGTGTGTGAGAGTGGACAGTTCACATACGAGCTATATGTAGAAAGAGAATATCACAATGGCATTCCCTGAAGGTTCAGCGTCTTCGGCTTCATCAACGACACCTGACACCCAAGTTATGTTATAATCGCAAAAGAGAATAATATTAATCTTCGTTTACTAAAGATCCAGCTTTTATATCACACATGGGAAAAGTTTAATCATTTAAGTTGAACTGCTATAATATTAAGACAAGGCAGATAAAGCCCTGTCCCTATATTGCTCCATTCGGAACTTCTTTCTATATTCTTTGTTTAAAGTAAAATAATCATGAATTAACTCTTGCTCGCTACTGTCTGGTACCAAATCGTTGATGATAAAAGTTTAGAAATGTATTACTGAGAGGAAGACTTAGATGAAAACCAGTTAAGAAAATAAATGAATTCGCTCTGCCTTCACTCCCAACCCCAGTCCCTAATACTGCGGTAATCTGATAAGCCATACTTTGAGTGCCTAATTAAGTTGGCCACATACGATAAATTACCACACTTGTAGTATGTCTTCACCATTTCTAAATGAATAGAGAATATGTAATAGTGTATTCTGTAATAACTATATTTTACAAGCGTGTCTAATATTTTAGTATATTTCCCGAATGCACAGCACGAGTGGAAAAAACAATAATATAAGAGAGGGAAATATCATTATTTGTCATTATTTACGACATTTGTAAATATTTTCTTTTTACTATTTTTGTAAGAGCACCAAAGCCAAATATCTTGCATATTACGTACAGATATAGAAGAACGAAGCTGGCTTTGCTACTCACTCATTATAACTTCGCAGTACGCGCAAAAACAATAGATAGAAAAGATATATCAACACAAAAATATATTTTAATGTAAAACATTCAGAGAGAGTTTAACCTGTGTCAAGTTATTACGCGGATGAAATATAGCGGCAACCTAACTAGCTGTCGTAGTCACTGACATGAATATTTTTAAAATGTCAAAATCCACTTTCATGACCTTCGGCTTGGGAGTTGGTTTGACCCCTAATAAGATTATTAGAGCTGCATTGTTTGCTGACCTCCATAGAAATGAAAGTTTACCATGGAAATGAATAACGTGTCACAAGTAAACAATCCCTTCAGGTTTGTGTGTGTGTGTGTGTGTGTGTGTGTGTGTGTGTGTGTGTGTGTGTGTTATTTTTTTAACCAGACTTTATAATTTGTCAATTTTATGAAATGATTTGTGTTCTCTTCTTTCATTGGTTTATGTCTACAAAAGTGTTATATTTAGTGAAAGACAATGCTTTTATCAATGTGATATTTCTCTATATTTCGAAGGCAAACAATGCAATACATGTGGTTATCTATAAACTAACTATAAGCTATATTTCAGATTACCAAAGAACGTTTTCATCGGCCTGTCAACCACGTCAACTAATTGTACTGACTACATCTGGAGCAGTGGCAAACCATTGGTGTGGAGTAAATGGCAGGTGGGAGGAGTAGATCCGGAACCCAACCACTGCACAACTAGACAGTGTGTCAGACTTGCCTCTGGATACTTCAAAACGGCGGAATGCAAAAAAACGTTTAAAGCCCTATGCGAATATGGTGCGTTTACGAAAGATTACTATCATTTAAACCTCCATCGAACGATAAAAAGATATAGATCTTATAACTGAATCATAATTCTAACTCATAATAATACCTGGAATAAAGGGAATGATACAAACCAAAGAGGCCTTTCAGATGGTCCAAATATGGTGAGATAAGATATTCCGTAAACCCGACGGACTAATAGACAAATAAACACAAAGTTCTGGATCATTACGTTGATTTTCAAAAGGATTATAAGAAACCGAGGGATATTCCACTCAAGGATCATAAAATATGGTGACGTAAGGCTTTGCTGAGGGTTTTACCACATTTTGTGATCCCGAAGATGGAATATCCCTCTCTTACATAATGAAATATATTTTTCTCTTATATCAACACCAAACGTTTGGATAAAAAAGACTGCCGGCCCTCCATGTTCGTAATCATTCGCTGATCGAAAAATGACTTGTGTGTGACTATATTGTATAGAGTAAGTAAACATACGCTAAAAAAGTGTTACATAGTGTACTTCAAATGATCTCTACCACGAAAATAAATTGTTTTCACTGCACATATAGTTGTTATATTTGATCATCAATATCTCATTTTCTATTATTTTAAGTATATCGATAAATCTTTTGACTGTTTATCAATTTTTCAAGACACTGTGACGCTAACGCGACGGCAACACAGTCAAAGGAATTTCATTCATAAGTTCAAAACTTGACGTAACACAAGATCTCCTTCCCAAATCGCTCTCGATCACCATTATGACACGACTTTTGGTGCTGGAACGTTTGTGATGATATTCGATGAGAGTTTCAAAATGTTTCTATGACACAGGATTGTAGGTGTTAACTTGGTTATCTTATTATGATGACGAAGGTAAACACGTTGTGGTATCGGATGAAAAGTTGAATTTGACGAGGAGGAGACAGAGGATAGTGCAGGGTTAACAGAACCAAATCAGAGTTTTTAGTGTTTGACAACATATTAAAAATCATACACCTTTTTCTTTTATGCAATGTCCTATAGTAGCATGTTTATTGTGTTTTATGGTCCGTAACCTACACCTGCAGTGTGTCGGGTACAAGTTCAGTCACTTTTTCGAACATTTTATTAATCAATCATTCATAACCAGGTAGTTTCACTTTTTTACCATCACTCCCGTCATATGGGCCAATAAATAGCTTTAATTTTATTGAGATTTCCTAACCATTTCGGCTTTTGCAACTGCACCAAACTGGTTAGCTCATCCAATCTTTAATATTGACAGAGTATTGTGACTTTGTTGATATGACGTTAGCACATGACAACTGACAGATCAATGTAACAGATCAATGGAAAGAAAGAGATGATGCTGTAAGAGTGGTCTCTCCTGAACTCAGGTTATTCCATGGAAGGTAGAATTGTTTGACATAGTAATCTTATATGGGCAAACTCTAACTTAACGGGATGTGGATACACATAAAACCTTATTATACACCTGTATAAATAAGTTACCGAGTCAATTACATTGAACAGTGACAACACGCCAACTAAACAAACATTTAGGTCTTATTCAACTATGTTTCAGAAGAATTTTATACATCATTTCTTGTGTAAATAACACAAATAGGTATCTGTAATGAACTTGGTATTAACTTCGTGATTTTAGGCAATTTTTCGAACATATTCATTGAATCCACGTTCATACACTTTCACGCGTGTTCCAGTACTGTGAAAACTACATACTAATACATGTTTGTATTCTTTCAGTTTCTGCATCATCAAAAGAAATAGATCAAGTTCATGATTCATGTTTTATTATTTTGTTGTAGTTTTAAACAGTGTGCAAGAAAATCCTGAACTGCATGTATCACTTATTTCCACATGTATCATATTCATTGTTTTGTTACAGTATTGGGTTATATTAGTTCCAAAAGATAATCATTCTTATGTACATTTTCAGTTATTGTGAAAACATCTTCGTCATCAACAACCATGGCAACCACTCAAATCATCAAAACGACAACCTTGACAATGGCAGCTACCGAAACGTCAATCACATTTTCACCATTCTCCTTCTCATCGCTATCGTCGTCCCTTGAAACTACATCACCAATAACGAAGACACCTGTCGACATGGAGACATCATTGATAACAACAGTTGCTGAGGAAACATCAACGCTCCCGATGTCATCGTCACTTTTGTATTCGTCCACGACAAAATCAACAATAGGAACGGTTACAGCAATAGAACCTACGACAATCTCATCCACATCTGAAACCAGCATTACCAACGTGTCTTGCATAATCAGAAATACAAATGTAACCAAACTCAGTCATGGCGAACTCCTCGAAATCATCACTCAGCTGAAGGCGGAGCTCTCTGTCAGTAAGAACAACACCTCCACCTATCGGCGTAAACGAATCAGCGTATATGAATCGAGACCATCTAGCATGATCATGGGAGGCGTGGCCTGTACAATCATGTCTGTATTGATCTGTGGGATTGTCGTACCGGACATTATCACACTGTTGGTATTTCTATTCAAATGCAGAATCAAGAAAAACGTCGTTAATCCTTAGTTTCCGAAAAGAACATTGAAAGAAATAACTTCATAACGTATTTTATAATTGCATAAATGGTCTGCCATATGCAGTGTTCGACAGCAGATCAACCTTAAGAACCTAAAATTCAGTCTTTGAAAAGATCAAAGTACATTTGAATAGTCTAATTTAAACATAATGTTTGGATGTATTCTTCTGTAATCCTCAAAAGACTAACGGAATGACTATCCATCATCTTTTTTTTTTTTAAAATAGACAAAAATATGATATATGAAATAAGAAAGATTTACAAGGAGATTCATGAAAAAATACAAGAAGAATAATTCCAGACGTTCCGGAAGAGTACACATTATGTACTTCATCGAAGGCATCCGGTGTTACAACGGTCCTGAACTCCTTACATTGTTGTGCATTTTTATGAGGGCTCAGTTTTTCTTTTATGAACCATTTGCGACAGAAATAACAAAAATATATATTCTGAAAAGGATATTGAACATCTAGACCATCATGGTTCAAAAACTGAGATGGTACGTAATATTCTTGCGATGTTTTTTTTTTTTTTTTTTTTTTGCAATAGAAGTTGTTTATCATTGCTTGATGTCAGATATTGTCTAACTGATTAGTAATTTACAGTGGTCTCCAATTGTTATCATTTGAATACATTATTGGTCAATGGAGTAGACGCATGAACGTGTTGTAGTGTGCAGTAGACAAAGTATAATATACTACATGTATACGTCCATTTGAATGTTTTTGTGATTTTCAATCCGATTTGGTTCGATGTTCTTGAATAGTTAGTGATCTTTGCTTTCAAAAAATCCTCATTTCTTAAATGTGATATATGTAAAAAACTGATTTCACATTGCGATATCTGTCCTTGAGATTTACATTTTGAGAAACATTTATAGCAATTATCAGATGTTGTAATGATATAATAGATTGTCTTATACATTTGAGAAACCATATTACGATTATACATCTTCACCATCAAATTTGCCATTTGGTAACAAACTCCTAATATGTAATATTAACGAAGTCATTTTTCGCCTTGGAAAAGTAGGAACTTCTGATATGCAATGTTCTTATTTTGCTCAGTTCAAACAATGACTTGTTCAAAATTCCAAAGTTGGACACTAGTGTATTTTTTAAATGATATCGATTTCTGAGATGTTAATTTTCGGTAGTACTCGTGATATGAATGTAAACTATTGTTCTCATAATTTATACCATACGAAATATAACGTCCTCGCAATCTATTTTAAAGCCATGGTTTTTACTATCATATTGTTGTTTTCGTTTCTTAATCACCAACTGCGATGTTCATAGTCAATTTTCAAGCATTTTGTGTGTACCCATTATGTCGACTAACTTTCAGAAGAGACGATATGACCATTTTGCCGTTTAAAATTGTGTCATTGTATCATATCTTAGACAAAATAACTTAGATAAACAGATACCATATATATCATGATAGATGACAAATGATCTTCTGGTCTTATTCTCCGTTTTTCTTTCTTCATTTTTTGCCTTGAATTCGAGTTTGGATGATGAGTATGTTAACGTGTTGGTGTATAATAATAATAATGATAATCTCTATTTTCAGAGGATAAATACATGTTAAGCCAAAGACTTATCTAACACATGGTCCTCTTGTTAGTAAAAGTACATATCAATAGGTTAGTAAAAACAACATGTATGAGTAAACAATAAACTTCATCTGTTGGATACCCGATAAAAATTACATGATTACATACATTATTGAAAAGTATATAGTGTACAAATAAAAGACTAGGTTGCTCTAAAAAGTAAAAAGCAGCAGTATCTTGCAAATTGTCTAGTAGTCTTTTAAAAGTAGTAAAACAATTGATCCCCTTAAGTTCGTGAGGTTAAAGATTCCAATCTTTGATACTCGATATCAAAAAATAGTTTGAGTAAAAAACAGTTCTGTGTTTTGGAACTAAAAAGTTGTTATCACAGGCATATCTTGTAGTTCTATTGTGACTGTTTCTAACTAATGAGACATTGCTAGATAAGTAGTCTGGGACATCTTCATGTAAACATTTAAAAATCATACATAATCTTCTAAACTTAAAGTATCTATCGATAGGCATCCACTGTAAAAATTCAAACATGTCTTTGGAAGGGGTATGAAATGGTCAATAGAGAATCATTCTGGCAGCTTGTTTCTGATTTTTCAAAAGCTTGCCCATTAAATTTCCTGAACAACCTGACCACACCGTGTATTTTCCTATTGTGTTTGTTATCGATATTAGCCTATTTTTTCCCGTTTTTAATTGTCTCATCATGCTTTCGTTTAGAGTGAAGCGTCTGTGTTAAGTATGTTGTAAATATAGATCAAAGTGAAAAATTAAAGAAGACGATTATATTGATCTTCATATTAAGTACAAAAAGAATATGATACATTAAGCGCATCTTCAATATATCTCCGTGTAAAGTAGTACATGGATACAAAACCAAATGGGGCCCAGTTTGTTCTCATTAGAAACTCAATTATTGGAAAACGTGGCTTTGAAAAATACCGAATATATTGCCCTGTAGAAATAAAATTATTACATTCTAGTGTATGTGAAATACAGATATACGTAAAATAAAGTAAGGACTTCTCTGGTCATATTTCGAAATGAATTGTGAGATGGTCTAATGTGTTTATATGGCATAAGGTTGAACCTCGGATATGGTCTTAGGGACTGACTGGCGCATGGTCAATAACGTGATGTGTGCTGATAATGTCAGAATATCCAAATGTTGTAAATAGACGTAACGTGAGTAGTTGACCGATGATCATCACTGTTCATGATAGTTCTGCTACATCGTACATTTATCTCGAAGCTTAGGTTACCGAGACTCCCCCATTTCCCTCCAAAGTATACTGATATTTGGCAATTATATGCAGGCTTCTACTAAGGATACACAAAAATAAGTGTCACTTTACAGAGTTTCACTAACATATACAAGGTGCAGTAATACAGAATAGCTCCTAAGAGTGTCATAATCTTAATTGATTTCATATTTTTCTTACTCTTCACAAGACATGGAAGATGACACTTAGTGACATTCTATCTTCCTATCTGTGTCGACGTTTACAAAGAATATACTAATAGAATCATTCACTTGTGATTTGTTTAAACATTTTAATATTTTAACTTAATTAAAAAGCAATTTTTTAAAAATTTTAATATGATGAAAAATAAATCATGACGCCATCTTGATATTCAAAAGTAAACAGGTGCAATATGACAACAAATTTACTTCGATTGAAACACTTAAATAGTCAGTCGAGTACCAATACAGACAATTTATATATATATATATATAAGATATTCCGTAAACCAACTGCCTGAAGAAAAATTGATATAACAAGAGCATTTCTTTGTATGCTGTTATATGAAAAAAAAACTCCTTTTGATCACCCCTGATAACAAACGATTGTTTAGGTTCAGTAAATACTATTTCCATTATTAATAGATTAACTAGGTCATAGGTTTATCTAAGGTGTCATAAAACCGTCCATGCATACTTATAAGGGATATCTTACACACACCGTGTCTATGTCTATCTACAAGTAAGACACCGCCGTGTCTCGATCTCTCTCAAGAATATACCATGTCTTCATCTGCCTGACATACAGAATATCCAGGTCTATCTTACACGAAACATACACAGGTCTTTCTAATACCAAAATATCTCTGTATAGCTTACATAAAACATGCCTCGGTCTTGCTAGCAAATCCTATCTAACACACACCATGTCTAGGTCAATCTAACACACACCATGTCTAGGTCTATCTAACACACACTATGTCTAGATATATCTAACCCACACCATGTCGAGGTCTATCTAACCCAAACCATGTCTATGTCTATCTAACCCACACCATGTCTTCGTCTATCTAACCTAGACCATGTCTTGGACTTTCTAACACACACCATGTCTAGGGCTATCTAACCCACACCATGTCCAGGTCTATCTAACACACACCATGTCTAGGTCAATCTAACACACACCATGTGTAGGTCTATCTAACACACATCATGTCTAGGTCTATCAAACACACGCCATTTCTAGGTCTATCTAACGCACACCATGTTTAGGTCTATCTTACCCACACCATGTCTCGGTCTATCTAACACACGACATGTCTAGGTCTAGGTTTTACTCGCTGAAAGATACATAAGTAGCACCCCCACCCTATAAGTACTTGTATGTACTTGTAGTTACCTCAGGTCGTCTGGATAAGGGAGACAGCCATGTCTACATATACACTGCCACCGATACCTTTGGACATACAAAAACGGTAACTGATACCTCTACACATACTAACCCGGTAACCGATACCTGTAGACATAATAAAACTGTAATTGATACCTCTAGACATACAAAAACGGTAACTGACACCTCTAGCCATACACAAACTTGAACCGATACCTCTAGGCATACAGAAACGGTAACATATACCTCTAGACAAACAAAAACGGTAACCGATATCCCTTGGTATCCCTAGACATACAAATACGGTAACCGATACCCCTAGACATACAAAAACGGTAACTGATACCTCTAGATATACAAAAACGATTGCCAATATCTCCAGAATTGCTACACGGTAACAGATATTCTAGGCATACTAAACTCTAACCAATACATCTGAAGATAATAAAACAAGAACCATTACCTCTAGACATACTTACGCGGTAATGAATACATCGGAACATATTTAAACTATAATTTAATGAAATGAGGAATTGCTGGAAAATTAATCACGAACATGTATTATTTTATGTATCGAGGCTGAAGAATTAGTGAGATATAGATGGTCATAGATATAAATGACTTCGGCAATGACAATCCACATATTGCTAAATGATAAATATATAGTTTACATATATTTT